AATTTGTATTTCCTGCTTACTTTCATGTAAGGACCGAGCCTTTAGCGCGACATCGGCCACACTCGAGGAAAAAAAAAGGGAGCACATCACACCAAAGAAGGAGATTGAGTGCATTGAGGTTGACAATGCATTGCAGACATCTGAGGTCCTGTTATCATCAGATTCATCGTCGTCGACGTCAGGTTGCGATGACGTCGATTCTGACGTGGAGAATGAGGTTGAAGTCAGTGATGACAGGCGTCCACCCAATGAGGACCGTTTTTCATTGGATGCCATGGTGAAGAATGGAAGGACAGGTATTATACACAGTGTCCCAGACATCGGCCCGGACATTTCTGGATCAGTCTATGCAAATGGTGAGCTTCTTCAAAAGAAGACTACGAAGTGTGAACGGCTCACATCAGCGGGTTTCATTGTGGTACAAATAGTGCCAGATTGGACTGCCAAATGTCGGGTCTGTTTCAAAGGGTGCCGTGAGCCACCCAAACGTCGTTGAGCCATGCTGAGAAAAAGGCCGTCATGTCCTGTTGATTGCCAATGTGTGCATTGAGTCCTCTTTGACATTGCATGTGAGCGGTCCAATGTGGGTGATACCGTTGTTGTCATGACTTATTATGTGAGGTTGTTGCCTTTTTGCCCCGATGTGCATGATCATGATTGCAGTTTCTTCGTTTGTCACAATGTGTGATGATTCATTCATACCCAATGTGGGTACGGCAATGTGCCGGGCAATGTGCCATCCGTATTCTCGGAACCTCAATGTGAGGCAAAGCAGTGACCATATGTGTGTCACGGCAATGTGCCAATTTAACTCGTTGCCAATGTGGCACTGATTACCAATGTGGTAAGAACCTACTCTGTGTAGAAGCTGTGCAGGCTCTAGGAACTGTCGCTGAGGCAGACTGAGCGGGTCATTGGATCCAAACTCATTCTCAGGTTCATGTGGTTTTTCATACCTGGCATGTTCTTGATTCGGAAATTTCGGTGACTATGACTTTCCAGGTTGGTGTTCATTTTATTACTTTTTTCTACACCGCACAACCTTGTGTCACCTCGCCTTTCTTTTTGCAGCAATGACTTCCATTCTGGACAGCGAAGCACATTTTCAGAAGAGATGTGATGAAGTGGGCCTCAGTGACCGTGGCAAGCAGGCCACTTTTGGGGCAGGATACTCCACGCTTGGCCGATTGGCATTTGGCGTTGGCCAGCCGGGGATGCCGGTGCCAGAATTGGAATTCACCAGGTTTGCAACCAATGTGTTGGGTGCAATGGCTACAATGCAAGACGTGAGATCTCTCAGGCGTTTACTTTTTGAGGCCCAAACGTTGGTCATGGCTCAGTTACGTGAGCAGGTTTCGAATCCTGAGATGCAGATGACCAGAAAGCTGCCACCAGTGGAGCGAGAAGCAAAGATGAGACAATTGAGAGCCCGGTTGCCTGGCGTTTTGCTTGAGCATCAGCTTGAACCTTCCCATGCTCTTTTGAATCTGGTGGCTCAGATGTGGGAGACAAAGCAGTTGCAGTACATAGAGATTGCAAAGCTTACCAGTCGTGAACATGAATGAAGTATTATACTCCAAGTCATCAAAGCAGCTGCATGTTGACGCTGACAAGCTGCTGGTCAAGGAGGAGGCCAAGGTTCCTGACCAAGCTGCGAGCACAGCTCCAGGTGCTTGAAGCCCTGAAAAGACGGGGTGTGGCATTTGCATTTATCGATGCGCTACCTTGGGAGGTCCATGAGCGCTATCTCCAATCCCTCTTCAACCACTTGCGAACGGAGGCACCCGATGGATATGTGAAAACGACATTGCAACAGCTTCTCCGAGCTGACAGGCAAGTTTTTCTTGCCATGATTCGCAAGGATGTGAATGTTAGAAGAAGACCAGATGATACCCTTGAGATGGACACGGAGATCATGAATGCGTTGCAATCCTACGAAGTGGGTTTTCATGTGATGCCACTGCCGAAGGCCAAGGTGACTGAAGCTAAACCTCAGCAGCCTTCGACCCCCGGACAGCCAAGTCAGTCATGGAATTGGCAGTCACGCGCGGGCCAGCCTTATCACAAGGGCTCCAAAGGAAAGGGCAAAGGAAAAGGAAAAGGGAAAAAGGTGGCAAACATCTTGCCGGCCGAGTTGCAGAACAAAGGATGTGTTGGAACAGATGATCACAACCGAAGGCTGTGTTTCAACTTCAATCTCAACAAGTGTCAGGATGCTGCACATGGAGCCGAATGCAATCGTGGATGGCACTTGTGTATGAAGAAGGGTTGCCATGCTCCTCATAGTTTTCTTGACCATGACAAGAACCGGAAGCCTTGACGGTTAGAACGCGTCTTTGACATGGCAAGCAAAGGCGCTAGCTTGGAAGATTGCCTCATAGTGGAGATCTTTGCAGGTTCATCACGTGTGACGGCCTCGTTGAAACAACTAGGTCTTCGAAGCAGCTTTGGCGTCGACAAAGTTCGTTCGAAGAACGCTATGTCTACGGTTATCATCGCTGATTTGACAACTCCCGAAGGGGAGGAACTTTTGATGAGCTGGCTAAACATGCCTAACGTGGTCGGAATTTTTCTTGCTCCTCCTTGCGGATCTGCTTCAAGAGCACGTCAAATCCCGTTAAAAAGGAAGTTCGGCGGCAAGAGAGATGGACCACGGCCATTACGTACAGATCAGTTTCCAAACGGAATTCCAAATCTGAACCCTTCAGAACTGAGTCGGTATCTCTTCAGCTGTATCATTTAACTGCGAAGTTAGTCAAATGGGCTGTTGAATTTGGTGTTATTTTTGTTGTTGAGAACCCTCAGTTCAGTTTATCTTGGGCCACAACCTTTTGGACGGAAGTTGCGCACCTTGCCATGTAATGCCAAGTTAGGATTAATAATCCCCGCGGTATTAATCAACCCCCTCTGCCCAATTTTTTTTTGTAATTTAAAAAAAGGCGGTCCCCCAGGATTAATAAACCGTTTGGCTGGGACATGATTAATCAACCCCCTGTGCTGAAATCCATTTTTTTATTCAACAATTTTATTTCCAATTCTATTTATTTCCAATTGCGTTTTACTTTTTTTTATCATCAGTGTTATACTTAAGGTTTAAGTTGATCATTGAAAATTTCAAAAAACAACTATTCCCCAAATGATCGATTTCTAATTAAAATCTTTATAAAAATCATCAGTTTGGATAGCTCCCAAAGGGTACCCCCCATGAGCCCATGTCCCCCATTAATAATAACCACGGTTTGCCCCTGATTAATCAACCACCTTTCTGATCCATGAGATTTTAACAAATCCAATGGAATTCTATTAAGATCTAATTGACGTAAGCCATATCCAAAGTTTTTTGGTTCAGAGTTGCTTATTATTAAGGGGCGGTCAAGAAAACTAGCCAGAAGGTCCGACTGACCTACCAGGGGGGGGGTTGATTAATCCGATGTTGGCATTATTCAGTTTTTCATTCATGTCAGTACGGTGGTTTGCGGAAAAAGAAAACAATGTTGGCATTCAATGCCGATGAATTTTTGGCTGTGTCGGCAATGTGCCCAGGACAAAGTAGCCGACATAAGCACGCCCGATGGGGACTGAATGCAACTAATGGGTTTGCGACGGCTGATGAGACAGCCTATCCAATGGGACTGGCACGCTTGATTGCCGTTGTTTTCACACGTGTGCTGCTCCGATGTGGTATCCATCCTTTGCCGGATACGCTGGAACAGGTGCAGCCATGCTCTTTGCAGGCACTGCAGAAGATTAGGGCATCCGTTGGATATCAGGCAAGATCATCGAGAATTCCACCATTGGTACGTACATACAAGCAACGTTTCAAAATTCAAGGACCCAAGTCCGTTTTGCCGAGGTTTTCTGTTTTACAACGAACCAAAACTGATGTTTTGCTTGTACAAGAGCCCAAACAATGGCTGCCGAAAGGGTCTCGACTTCTTGCTGTTGAACACGTTTCCTCTCAAAGCAAGGGGGGACTGAGCATCGAGGAAACTGGCGGACCAGGGCGAGTTCATGAATGCAATGATGTAATTTCTGACGTGACCATTTGTGAAAATTTGGCAAGCAATGTTACAAATGCAGGAAATTTTTCATTTGAATGTAATGCTGGACATGTTGAATGCAATGCAGGAAATTCTGAATGCAATGCTGCCATTTCTGACAATTATTTTTCGACAGGTTTTGACAATTTTGACAACAATGTTGCAACGGCTTTTACAGGCGAGTTTTTGCAGACCCTGACCTTGAAGGCGGAAGATTCCAGCGTCACTGAGGACTGGCAGCTTCAGGTTTGGGGGACTCCTTGGACACCAGATGAGTTTGTAGACAGGGCAGTTGTTGCGGGTCACCCAGCAAAGCTGCATTCTTTTCTGCCACCGATGCTCAGGGACTGCATTGAAAAATCTTTGATGAAGTCATGCTCACAGCGCATGGCTCATAGGGCCCAAGCCCTGAAGCACTGGTTGCGAAGGTCGATTCAACGCAAACATCAAGAAGAGGAACTGGTGCGGACATTGGAGCCTGGAGTTGCGGAAGTCCTGCAAGGCAAGCGGATCCTTGTATGGAAGGAAATGCTACAGTCCATCAACTACAGCGATATGGGTGTCGTTGATGAGTTCTGCGCTGGCTCTAAGTTGACAGGACAGACAGACCTAACAAATTTGTGGCCATCGAAGATCACCCCCGCTACCATGACTGAGGGGGGGTTGCATGCACAAGCAAGGTTGCAACGGGATGGCATTTCATTTGGGCAGGTGGTTTTCTTTGACTCCGAGATTGCGCATTCAGTATGGGATCAGACATTGCAAGATGTTCTTCGTGGCGAAGCTGAGTGACCTTTCGATCTTAGCGAGGTGCCCTTGAACTTTCCGCTCAGCAGGCGCTTTGGGGTCAAGCAGAATGGAAAGATAAGGTGCGTGGATGATTTTTCCTGGTCTGGGATAAACGCTGCCTCACAACCGCGAGAATCCCCAAAACCTCACACTCTTGATGTGGTGGCAGCGATGATCAGTACAGTGATGTGCCATGCTGAAAGTGATCACGCCTGGGTGTCGCGGAGCTTTGACCTGAGAAGCGCATACAGGCAGTGCGCGGTGCATCCTGAATCCCGGCAGTTTTCATATATTGTTGTTGGAGATCCCAACACGTCTTCATTGAAAGCCTTTCGTCTCAAGGCGCTCCCCTTTGGAAGCGTGAAATCTGTGCACAGCTTCCTTCGAATAGCACACAGCTTGTGGGCCATCCTGACACCAGTCTTCTGGGTGATAACAACCAATTATTTCGATGATTTTGTGTCCATTGCTGATTTCCGTGAAGCTGCATCAGTGGACTACACCGTAAAGGCTGTCTTCAGACTGTTGGGTTGGCGATTTGCCGAAGATGGACCAAAGGCACCGCCTTTCAGCAGCAATCTTGTGGCTCTTGGAGTGCAGTTTGATGTGTCAAGGTTACATCAAGGATTGGTCAAGGTCGCTAACACCGAGAGCAGGCGGGATGAGTTGGCCCAGGCATTGGATCAGGCTGTGACGTCGAAATCCCTGGCGAAGCTTGAAGCCCTTAGATTGCGAGGGCGGATGCAATTCGCATCTGGGCAGTTTTATGGGCGCCTAGCCCGGCGGTGCCTGGCAGTGGTAACGCAGCATGCCTATGGCTCTGAGTCATCAACACTGGCTGAAGCTGCGATACATGCCCTGTCTCGTTTTAGAGACATGCTGGTCAATGGTGTGCCGAGGATGATTTCATCGAAGGCTACAACAACATGGTTTATTTTCACTGATGCTTCGCATGAACCACATGAGTCGGAACCTTTCTCTGGCGTTGGTGGGGTCTTGGTGGACCAGCTTGGGTGCAGGCGCCGCTTTTTCTCAGAAAGGCTGTCACCTGACCTCCTATGTGACATCAATGTTTCTCGAAGGAAGACCATCATTTATGAGTGCGAATTTTTCTCTGTGCTTTGTGCAATGATTGATTGGAAAGATTTTCTTCATCAATGCAACGTGGTGATCCATACCGACAATGATGCTGTGAGGGATGCATTCATAGCTTGCCACACTAGCAGCACAAATTCTCTTCCTATACTTGATGCTATACTCAAAGCTGAGAATGATGCTGAATGCAATTCCTGGATCACTTGTGTGCCAACAGAATCCAATATCGCCGATGACCCTTCGCGTCTTCAAGTGGATCATTTAATGAACTGTGGATGCTTGCGAGACAATATTGGTTGTGCAGATATTTGGTCGAACACTGTATGCAAGCCTGGCAATGTTGCAAAAGGGGGAGGCGATAGACCAGCCTTGCACACCCCTTTGGAAAAAAGAAGGTCTCATTGCAAGCGAACGTCGTCACAGCAGAATTTAAGTAAGCAAGACAACGGCAAGCGAACTAAATTCTGATGTGAGGTGATGAACTGCCGTGAATCAACCGAGCTCTGGCTTACAGGTTTGAATGTCAAACATGTCAATGTGAAACAATGGTTTCTTTCAATGACAATGGTCGCAACTTCAACATGTCACATGTCTCTTTTCTTTGTGAAAATTTTTCACGCCCACCCTCAGCCACCCTGATACCTTGTCAGGTGGTTGGGGGTGTGCCAAGCCCAAAGCCTGGCGATAGACCAGCCTTGCACACCCCTTTGGAAAAAAAAAGGTCTCATTGCAAGCGAGGGTCGTCACAGCAGAATTTACTAGAAAAAATGCAGCAGCTGCAGCATCGTGGGAAAGGTTATGATGGAAAAAAAATATTTTTCGATTGTAAAGAAAAACATAGAAAACTGTTGGACTGGATTATAAAGACCGTTTGAAAACAAGTAAAAACATTTTATCATTCAGGCTTTGCGATGATGATCGGAAAATCGAAACCGATCTTGCGTTGAAAGAAATGAATGGAAAAAAGTAAAGAAGTAAAGCGAGATGCGCATACAGTCGAAAAGAGGTGGCAGAAGACTTGAGAAGAGCTGCGCAGAGAAGGGAAGTTGCCACGAGATCACGAGAGCTGTGACAAGAATCGAAATGATTTCTTGCGAGCAGCTGCAAAGAGCGGAGAGCAGATGGTTGGACTTGAAAAGCGATGGGGCAAGATGAGAACTGACTCACAGAACATGCTGTCGATGACATGGAACTCCACCTCAGCTCCTATAGGCAAACCTCGTCTTTGGATCCTATAGTAAACCAATCCTTGCTGTTGGAAACTTCCGCGCCGGCCCCGGCGGGGTTTTCATCGTAAGAAATATATAGAAATTGAACACCTTTAGATTGTGTGAATGATGTAGATAGACAATGTATGTGATGTAGATGAAGGCGATGTAGATGATGTATGTGATGTAGATGATGTAGATGATGTAGATGATGTAGATGATGTAGATGATGTGGATGATGTACATGATGTAGATGATGTAGATGAAGTAGATGATGTAGGGATGGAGGATATGTAGATTCTGTTGATGTAGAATGTAGATTCTGTGGGTGATGTAAAGGATATCGTACAGATGCAAGAGATGTAGATGTTGTATGTCATGTAGATGAAGTTGATGTAGATGATGTAGGTGATGTAAAGGATGTAGGAAATGTTGTGTAAATGAAGTGAAAAATTGAATTTGGCAGCAGTTCTTTGGGAAAAAAAACCGTTCGCAGGAGTTTTGGGGAGAAAATTGCACCACCAGAAACGTAGGCAGCACTGAGACCAGATTAAGTACCATCAGCGAAAGAATGGGAAACGAAACACAGTGATTTCCATGGCACAAATTACAGGAATTCCTAAGCTTCAGTTGGCACAAATCCACCATCTGGTATGATTTGGGCGGAGACCTTCCTTCAGTTTTTTTTTAAAATTGGTTTGGAACTTCCGGTTTGGGGGATGATTAAACTCAAGTGCTGGATGTTACAAAAAAAATTGAACAATTGCGTTGCCACGTTTGCCATAGTCAAACGGGTCCTCGCATGATATTCACAGATCTCACCCGGATACATTCTGATTCAAGAAATCAATGCATGCATATCAACGGTGCGAATCGTTCTGACAGCAAGTTCTGCACTTTATGTCTTTGTATTGGCCTGGAGTTCACATGATTTTCACACCATGTCGCACTCTACGTTCAAATTTCGCATGGGTTAAGATTTCGACGCCAATTCAACCGGATTGGTTGTTGGAAGCGTTCCGTGATTGCTATGGGAAATATTCAGCAGGCAAGACCGATATGTGTCGTGTGTTGTTTGTTTGTCTGCAAAACACGTGTGTTTCAACATGAGGTTTTGATTTTTCTTGTTTGAAAAATGTACATGCTGTAGGGTTTGACATTCGCATGCTACAAACATTCAGATGAAAGGTATGGCACTATGGGTGGGTCTGCAATGCAACCTATTGGCACAGGTTTTCCGAGACATTACTGCAGACGGCAATGTGTGGGACCAGGACGCAAGAGTAAATCCAATGGTCACAAGAGTCTCTTGAAACGTTGATACTGTTGATGCAAATGATTGGCCACTTCGGGATCAAAGTATTAGATATTCAATTGATGCCAAAATATACCGTGTCTTTTTCATTTTCAATTGTTTCGCGAATCGTTTCCCTTGTATTCACTTTACGCAGTTTGCAAATGTTTGCAAAAAAAAAACAAAAATGGCAGCAACATAATGAATTTTATGCACTGGCAAGAAAAAACACAAGATAAAACCCAACAAGGTTGCAATTGTTGAACATCAACCATTTTTGCTGATATAGATTAGACACCCACTTGAAAACGGTGTAGTTCTGTTCACATCAAATCAGCTGCACGATCCTGCCAAACGTTTCATACCGTGCTGTCCAATTTGTTTGAATCAGGACTCTCTGGTCTTACCTCAGCATGCAGAAGTCCTGTCCAAAGATTCTCTGCTCCCACTGCCCAGGTGCTTGATGTGGTTTGCAGATGTTTGCAGGGTGTGGGAGAAGTTTCGACATTTTAATCAGGTCAACCTTTTGACTGACCACAATTAAATTATCCGTTGTGTGGTGAAAACCAACCGACGTTGGATCATCGCAGCCTTCACCAGCTCGGCCAGTTTCTTCTTGGCGCCTGATGTTGGTCTGGGGGCCCTAAAGATGCGAACATGCTTCGTCACGGGGGAGCGGTCACGGGGTCACTTCCAGGGATTTTTGGCGAAGTATCGTTGTGTCAGTGGCAGTTGGCAGTTGGTCCCAAGTCATTTTAACCTGAACGGAACAATTTTTTGCCTTGAAGTCCTGCTTCAAAACCAGCCTTTTTTGGAAGCCCTGGACGATCTGGACACATGTTGTTACATCACAACGGAGAAATTCATTCAGTACGGGACAAAACAGATACCCTATCTGAAATAGGGCATGGTGAGTGTTGAATATCGACTGGAGGAGTCAACAAACTGAGTTGCTGCATGTTGCAGCTAGCCTGATCTCTGGAGTTTTGCTTGAATTAGGTCCTCACAAAAAATGGTGCCATTTTGTCATGAAAAACTCAGGCCTGAAGGCCTGTCCGTCAAGATCTTCACTCACACGCATCTTGACTCCTGAGTTGAAAATTTCCCTCTGGTAAACTAACAGTTGGCTATTGAAAATTGCCATTTAATTTATAGTGGGTTTTCCCATTAAAAATGATGATTTTCCATGGTTATGTTAAATTACCAGAGGGTATACAACACATTCCCTTCAGATCTCAAGTGTTGTGCACGTGATGTTGGAGACAGTCTTGCAAAACCAGAATCATAGGACGCAAAAATCCCGGCAAGTGCATATGACCTTGGACGTAGCCAATGTGTTGCCGATGGTGCTAAATAACCTCGACGCAACCTCATCTTGGAGCTGAGCATCAACTGCTTCCGCCGATCAAATTCTTTGTTATGGATCATATGGGCCACGAAAATGACTAGATTGAATAGATCCGTAGATCCAAACGACCACTGACAAGACAGAAATGCAGCACTTGACCCAGATTCCTGGACTCGACTGGAAGTGCCATGTAAACATCTCAAAGCCTAAGAATCCTTGATTTGAGTAGCGGTTTTCTCACACCGATTCAGATTCCTGGGATTCATCCCATTGATCCCAATCAGAATTTTCAGAATCTAAGCTTTGTTGACAGAGGTTGAAGGGATTTGTTCAGGGAACATTTCTTGCTCTCAATTTTAGATGATTTAGATGTACAGAACGGCCAAAAATTGCTGACCGGATTCATTGTTTGTGACACGCAGCAGAATTGCAAGAGTCAGTTTCCCGACGACATGCAATGAGCATGCAATGAGCATGCCAAGGGACAACCATTTGGTCCAGAACAACAAAGTATGTATACAAAACAAACATGTATAACACACACATATCTATATACATATATAATTATTTGCACAACTATATTATATAGTTACCTGCACGACCACACACACACACATATATATATATATACATATATATATATACATATATATATATGTAGAAATATCTATACATATTGCACGACATGTACGATGTATACGAGAGGCCTTTTCCACGATTTATGCGGGATTTATACACGATCTGTTTGGCGATGTTGATCCATGTCTGGATTCAATCGGAAGAGAGGGTTTGTGTATATTTGACCACTGTTTTTGCCCACGAGTTTGTTTTTTTTCCCCTATGAAAATGGTTGTCAAAAAAGATTGGATCCTGCAATATCTCAGGATATCTGTAAAAGTCGAGGCTCTGGTTCTCGCAGCAGTTTCTCCTCAGAGTCCTCAGACGGAACCTTCGAGTGTCTTGGTGCTACGTGGGGTGGCAACGGGAACCGCTGCAGCGGCCGAATGATCCGCAAACATATGTTAAAAGCTGAAATTCCTTGGAAGAGGCCTGAACTATTGGAACTGCCGGAGACAAACATTGTTACCTTCTGGTATTTTCCCATTAAAAATGGTGATTTTCCATAGTTATGTAAACGTTTACCAGAGGGTAAACAATCGCTCTTTCATATTTTTTTTCATGCTGTCCTTTTGGCTTCTAGATTCTGGTTCCGATGGTTCTGTGGAATATGCTGCAACTGTGCAGACAACAAAGGAATAGTGGAACGAAACAAAGTAACCAGTAAGACAGTAACACGCTGTAACAAAGACTATACACAACATCAGACAAACAAAACCAGAAGCAGACATCTTATTTTGAAGGGCTGCAAACATGAGCCACGTGGCACGTTTTTGCACAAGCACTATGTAGCAACAATGAGAGATTCAAGCTTGACAACTCTAGAGGAAATGTGCAACTGAAAGGTATTGGTCTCAAATTGCTGCAAATGCTACGCATATCATGTGAATTACAGATTTGGATTTGAAAATGTTGCGCGCACTCTGTAAAATGCAAATGTTTGCTCCAAAATGGTGCAAAATACTGTCCAAATGAGAGATTTTATTTTCATGCTCTGTCCGAAAAGCAAGGAAACAACCCCAGACCGGAAAACAAAACACAAAAAACACAAATAAAATGAATAGACAATTCTATCCGCGCCCAGTTAGCTTTTGCGGTTTCCTAGCAAAAAGAAGGCTGAGGATTTTCATGCCTCTTGAGGTCAGCGCTGCCGGACCAGGTCAGCGCTGCAGAAAAATTGGGGCTGGTTTTTTTTAATCAAGGTGAATGTTGTGCATCAGTAGCACCAGTATCAGCAGTACCCTCTGGTTATGTCAAAATAGCTATTGAAAATGGCAAGTTATAGTGGATTTTCCCATAAAAACATGTGATTTTCCATAGTTATGTTAGTTTACCAGAGGGTATCAGCCGTCAACTCTGTATTGACTCATTCCCTAAAGAACGGGATTCATCCTGCTCTGGGATTCATTTACGATTTTTCATGCCACATGAATGTTTTTTGCTAGCTTACAACAGGTTTGGACACTCTAACTATATGTCTTTACATGACGCAAGTGTTGTGTGCTTATACCATTCCTGCAATGATTTTCATGATTCCTTGGCAAGAATCCCCTGTTCTCGCCTTGAAATGTTTTTTTCCCCTCCAGCTCTTATCGGCTGGTGTTGAACATTTCATGGGTAAAGCTGGTCCAATGGTCAAGCTGGTCATGGTCCATGGTAGGTCGCCCATGGTCTTCAGTCTGGCAGGTCGTCCTGCGAAGCACTGGGTCCGAACGGTGCGTGAACCGCCATGAGGTGAGTCCGTCCGTGAGTCCGGTGGTATCCAGGGGGGTTTTGTCCAGTTTTTTGGAGTGACCATTTTATGGGAGAATTTTGGCACGAGATCAAACACTTTGTGCATTTTTGGGATATTAATGGGATATTGATGGGATATCAACATCTATTCACCAATGTCAAAGAAAAATCCCGCTGGTATTGTGATAGACGAGATCCCAGGGGAACTGTGCCGTGGCAACCTTCGCGGATTCTCTGTCAGGAGGAGATCTCCGCGAGCGCGAGCAGATTGCTATGGCTTCCCATGGAGCAGCCCGCGGTCCAAGAAAGGCCAAAAGTGATACCCTCTGGTAATGACTAACATAGCTATTGAAAATGGTGATTTATAGTGGATTTTCCCATTGAAAATGGTGATTTTCCATAGCTATGTTAGTTTACCAGAGGGTAAGAGTAGCCACTGTTTCAAGTGTTGATTCTTAGTGGCCAATAATCAAGAGTGATACAGAAAGTTGATGGATAGATAGGATAGGATAGAACAGGATAGAATAGGGTAGAATAGAATGCAATAGGATAGAATAGAATGCAATAGGATAGAATAGGGTAGAATAGAATGGAATAAGATAGGATAGAATAGGATAGAATGAATAGATAGATCGACAGATCGATGGATGGTCATCGGCAGTGAGTCATCGGCAGTGGGTGAATCGCCAAGACAAGTTCCGAAAAGTGCCGGGCGGCATGTCACGCGGTCGTCCGTTCGAAACGGTGGTGTTCACCGAGGTGCAAACGGAGAATCTTAGACGAGGCATGGGGCGGCTAGTGGCTGTGTTCAATCCGCCAGGCAGACCTGGATGACAGGTAGACGACTTGGTAGACGACTGGGTAGGCAATGTAGGAAACGAGGAACGCTTTTTCCATGTTTTTTGGCATGTTTTTCCCCTGAAACTTCATTGCATCAAGGGATCGTATGGGAAATAGCACTGGCTCGAGCCAAGGCTTCTGCGGTGTTTTTTTGCCTTTGCTGATGCTGGAGAATGTTGCTGATGGTGGATTTAAAGTGATCCGATATGATATGATGCAATTTTTAATGCACTGCAACATGATGCAACATGATGAAATGTGATGCAATATGATGAGACTTGATGCTGCATGATGCACGATGATGATTTCATGACAATGAAACGCATCTCAGCAGGATGAACCTTCTGATTTGGATCTCTCTTGGTTAAGAACAGCGGTCCTCAGGTAAGCTGAAATAAAAGCTTAAGAAACTATGACCACTTTTGCATCCAACCACCGGTTGCAAATCTCTATGAATTCTGCGCTCTAAAAATCGTTTTTTTTTTTCGGTGCCATGGACTCCATTTTCGCATGGTTTCAGGGGCTAGGCAGCCCCCAGAACTTGGAAGTCTTTGATGTCACTGGAGCTACGGATGAACATCAGAAGCTCAGCAGATTTTGTTGTGGTCAAAGGTAGCTGATGTTAGACTGTTAGAGATTGACAGTTGGATACCAAAAGATACTTTTTTAGAATCAATTAGATACCTCCAACGACCTATCCAAGCATTCTTGGTGACCCATAAAGTACTTGGTCTTGTTCTTGATCTGGCCCGCCGTGCCATTTTTTTGGACACGCTGGGGATGACTTGAGGGGCCAACAACACTCACGGCCAGCATTGAACCACACTCCACCGATGCGAATGTGATGCTACGCCGCTTAAATTGCGAGGTGTCTCTTGCCGATATTCTGCTTCTTCCTATCATTTCCAAACTTGATCTTGCAAGCGTTTGGACAATGGTTTCTCTGGCGCCCGCGTTTGAGTACGTAAAATGTCTGGCTTTGGTAGTTTGAACAGGATCACATTGTCACTTGTCACAGCTGGAAAGATCAAGATGCTGCTCCCGCAGAACGCAATCTTTGGTGGCACACCAAGCAATCTTTGCTACATTCAGGTTAGCCTCCGGTCATCAAACATCACAATTGGACATCCCCAGTGAAGGTTTTGACCGTAAAATCATCAATGGTCGATTGCCAACCACTGGGGAAATTAATCAAGGACACTGGGTATCAGCTGAGGATCAAGATAGTTCCAGCACTCAGCGACAACTACATGCATCTCTTCTGAAGTTTTTAAATGCATTGCTTTCCAGAGAAAAAACTAAAGACAAATGAAGAGTCAATCCAGAAAACGAAAACTCATTCTCAGCTAGCTTTCCCAAGACAGGCCTTCTATAGAGAGTTTCACTGAAAACCATGTGACAACTCTACAGAATCCCATGGAGATGGTAGCAACTTGCTACTTTTTTCTTTGGAAATTGGTTTTCAGCCGTGGTTTTAACGACACGTCGAAACGTTTTTTTCTTTCAACGTTTGGCCCAGGTATTTGGTCATCAATCCCAAGACCAAGGAAGCTGTGGCTTGGTGAAATCCCTGGGTAATCTGGGTATGAATGAAGATTGACTTCGACTTAGATTCGATGATCACTGGGATTTCCCATCGGATTTCCCAAGATGCCTGGAGTGAAATTTGTAAATCCAGCAGCAGATTCAAGACAGATTCAAGACAGAATGATGAACAAAAGAAGCTGATGACTTGGAGTCAGTGGAATGAAGAAACGTTGGCATGGCTTATGTTTGATTCAATAAACATCAATAAACACTAACACACATAAACAAAGACATTTTGGAGAAGTAAGTGGTCTATTCACAGTGGTCTATTCATCGTGAGTTTGTGTGTTTCACTTCTGGATCCTTTTTTTTTGGGGCAAACCTACAGGACTGACCATGTTTTTTTCCATGTTTCTCCCATGTTTTATCTATGGCTTTCAACTTTCCTGCCAGCACATTTTCTCGGAACCAATCCCAACTGGATCTGCGCAGGTGGCTGTGGATCCTGTGGAAAGTGGCAAGATCCTGCAACTCTGTAGCTCCTTGGAGGTGAAGTTGGTGGCTGTTCTCACCACCCACTATCACTCAGATCACTCAGGAGCTGACTGATGTCACTGATTTGATAAGTCATAAGTCAGTTACACGGTTACGGTACCATCTGGTTAACATAGCCATGGAAAGATCCACCATGCTATTTTCATAGGTAAACCATCTATTTCGATTGGGGCCATTTTCCATGGCTATGTTAAATAACCAGAGGGTAACTTTTCTGAGTCAGTTACTGATTTTTGTGACATATATAAGTGTAACATGATAAGTCATGGCAGGTTTCGAGGTTTTTCAGTGTTGGTGAATTTCTGGATGTATGGCCACGGGAAGCTAGGAGGCAATGCACAACTGGCAGCAGAGCTTCCTGGTTTGGAGGTTGTCGCAGGTGAGAGAGATGCTGCAGCTCGCACTGCACAGCGATGGGAATGATGGGAAGATGTGGCCCCCAAAAGTGACACAACTTGGAAACCACTTAGGTGAAAAAGGGCCGAAAAGCTGTGGGCTTTGCGTTCGGTTTTTCATATAAAAACAAGCATCATGGGTTCCAACTGAGATGTTGCCTGGTCCAAGGATCGTACCCCAGCAGTGACCCGACGAGTGAAGGATGGCGAAAGCTGCTGCTTCGCAGGTCGCGGGTTGATCTCTGGATTCTGTGGATTCTGGAGCCAATCCCATTCTAAATATGAAATGATTTCGGAAATGGATGACTCCACGAATTTAGTAATCTTAAGTTCCCAAAACGATGGAATCCAACGAGATTCCATTCCATCCCCCGTTCATTTTTATATTCAACAGCCCCAAGTTTTTTGTGGTCTCAGTCACTTTTTTGTGATTTCATCCCAAAAACATTTTATGGGGGACTCTCGGACTGGCTCACCATGGCAGGGCTTCGCTTCCAGTGCTTGACAACTCCATGCCACACGCGCGGCCATATCTCCTTCGTGTTGGAGGGCGAGGTGAAGCATGGGCCTATGGGCCTGGGGGGGGCCTGGGCATGGTGGAAGTAGGGTCGCTGCGCATATGACTGGGAGCATCGGAGCATCTATCATGGGGCATCAAGGGGGAGTGGGATGACAGCTTCGAAACAAAGATCCAATGATGTTCCAATGTGGGGATGGGTCAAAACCTATTAATTATTGCCATACTTTGGGGTATTAAAAACATCCGCTTTCAGCAGCTATTTAATAAAGTACCATAAAGTACCTAGGCTACCAGGCTTTTGACCCACAAAAAACATGGCAGCTATGGCACCAAAAAGGATCCTCCCATTTTGAGGCACCAGTGACAGTGGCAAGGAGCAAAAAACTGGCTGTGCATCAAAAAATCACCTTTCAACAGTGATATCATGATATATTCGTTTTTCTCCACATATTTTAGCATTTGGTCCATCTTACAGAAGTTAATTTTTTTCAAGATCTCGTTTCAACGGTTGATTTCAAGATATTTCAAGTTGTGACCACAAAGGCACTTCCGTAACTTCCGTAACTTCCCGTGGTGATTCTTCAACGTTCGATGAGTGGTGTGGTACAATCCGTAAATCGCCAGTCTCCGGGCCTCTTCTGTGGTGATACGCTGTTCGTGGCTGGTTGTGGACGTTTCATGGAGGGCACCGCGGTCGCTTGGATCGGTGAAGCAGCAAGTCCTGAAAAACGTTTTCCTTTGTTTAGAACGACTCGAATGAGGGAATTCTGGTGGTTTATGATGGTTTCCTATTTTTCTGATACAATTTGCAAACGAGCCTTGCAAGTCAAACTCTGTCTGGCTTTTGTTTTCTCACATGACTAGCGTCTTTGGTTTTTCTCGCATGACTAGCGTCAAACTCTGTCCTTCACTTGATATGGTACTGCAAGCAACTGGGCTGTCTACAATTCTCCGTTTGGAAGTTTCCTAAAATGGGGGTACCCCTAAATCATCAATTTTAATGGAATTGTCCACTATAAACCGTCCAGCTATTGGAGATTTTTCATTTTATGGAAACGTGCAAAACCCCCATTTGCGGAAGTCCAGTCATCCAGTTTTCAGCAGTTTCGGCCGGCCAGTTTCTCTCCAGCTATTGCGAGCTTCAGGCACTGATGAAATCGAGCCTCTTGAAGCTTTCTCAGCTGCCACCAACGACTCGCATCTTCTGTGGTCACGAATACACTGTGCCGCGGCCGCCGCCATGGTTTTCATGGGAGCTGATGAATCGGATCGAGATATTCATGGTAATTATATATATATATATAGTATCTATATAATATCTATATAATATCTATATAATATCTATATAATATCTATATAATATCTATATAATATCTATATAATATCTATATAATGTCTATATAATATCTATATAATATCTATATAATATCTATATAATATCTATATAATATCTATATAATATCTATATAATATCTATATAATATCTATATAATATCTATATAATATCTATATAATATCTATAATATATGTATATATATATACATATATACATACATACACACATGCATACATAAATACATACATACATAGATCGATAGATGCATACATACTAGATAGAAAGAAAGAAAGAAAGATAGATAGATAGATAGATCAGTTAGATAGATAGGATAGGTACATACATTAGTTACATACATACATTAATTACATACATACATTAATTACATACATACATACATACATATATTAATACATTAATACATTAATACATTAATACATTAATACATTACATACATCACATACATTGCATACATTGCATACATTACATCATTCATACATTCATACATTTATACATTCATTCATACATTCATTCATTCATACATACATACATACCTACCTACCTACATACATTACTTACATAGATAGATAGATAGATAGATAGATAGTTTGATCGATCGATCGATAGATAGATAGATAGATACCTACTTACCTACATTCATGCATACATACATACACACATACACACATACATACATAACATTACATAACAGTACACAACATTACACAACATTACATAACATTGCATATCATTACATAACATTACATAACATTACATTACCATACATTACCATACATTACCATACATTACCATACATTACCATACAGTACCATACAGTACCATACATTACCATACATAACCATACATAACCATACATAACCATACATAACTATACATAACCATACATAACCATACATAACCATACATAACAATACATACATTACATAACCAGACATACATTACATAACCATACATACATTACATACATACATACATACATACATACATACATACATGCATTAATTACATAGATACATTAATTACATACATACATTAATTACATACATACATTAATTACATACATACATTAATTACATACATACATTAATTACATACATACATTAATTGCATACATACATTAATTACATACATACCTACCTACCTACCTACCTAACTCCCTCCCTCCCTCCCTCCCTACCTACCTACCTACCTACCTACCTATATACATACATACATGCATGCATGCATGCATACATACGCATATGTATATATATATATACATACACGTATGTATAGAGTTAAATAAATATAATGATATATATACATATATATGTAGAATTATGTATTGTCAATACATAACCACCAAGTTCCAGCTTGGGTTTGATACCTGAAAATCGGGGTATACCCCCCAAAATAACACGTTTCATGGAGAAAATAAGCCAATGGATTTTTTTTCCGGTATCCGATGATTATTATTTTCAGACAAACCTAATACACCATGATGGAACATGCTGAGCAGCTTTTACCACATGGCAGGAACGGAAAAAAATCATGTCAGCAAAGGGCTTGGATTGGCTCGACAAGAGGTTTCTTCCATCAGGCTACACTCTACGTATTGCAAGCCTTGGCATCCAAGTTTTCTCAGGGTGATCTCACATGAACGAGTCGAAGCGTTAGTGTTTTTCAGACGTCTTTTTTGTTGAAAGAAAGTTCGAGGACGTGGCCCTTTTTTAGGGACGAGGCTACTCCAGGGTACTCCAGAACTGCGGTTTCCATCCCGGCCAAGGTGGGGAACTTGGAATATGCCATGTCTCTGCAGCCCAAAAATAGCCTGCTCCAGCGCCGTCTCGCAGAGGCCAAGGACTGGCATGCTGGGTTCGACTTTCCAGGACTTTCTGTGTTTTTTTTGTGGGTCTTGTGGCCCGAACATCAAGAACTACTGTATATTATAGAGTTGAATACACTTTTAAGTGGAGAAGTGTCAAGCTACCTTGTTACATGTCAAGCTGCATTTTGGATATTTTGGATGGTATTGCGGACATCACGTTCATGAGCCATAAGAGATGCATAGAAATGCCATGGTTTTTTAATCGTTTGCAAGGAGTCATAGCACCTGGTTCGTGGGAAGTATGGACTGGCCCACATCAGGGAAACCTTTTTCAACCAGTGAGATGGGATAGAATCGGTGTACCCTCAGGGAAACTAACGTAGAAAACCCAGCACTTGTAGATCATTTCCTAGAGTTTCCCCATGGTTTTTCTACATCTTAGTTATTCTTATAGTTTACCCCTGGGTATTCTTAGTTATACAATCTTCTTAGTTATTCTTAGTTATTCTCAGTTATTTCATGATTTTCATGGCTCAAGTGATCTCAAATGGATTTCTAGGACTTCCACATGAATCGCGGCCACGCGAGTTGCCTTCCGGGCCTTCGCGCGAGGAGAAGCGGGAGAGAAAAGTGCCGACTGTGCCGTCCACACTGGCTGAGGCGGGGTGGGCCTTTGATCCAGTAGCTTACAAGTAGCTGATCACCACTCATTTTGGTGGGATTTCTATGAATTCTTGTTGGGGATTACTGTATAGATCTATATATAATTTAAGTATGCAATCTGTAAAGGAACTACAAGAAAGCTAACTTGTTTTGTCAGGAGACGTAAAGAAACTAAGAAACAGTCTAAAAAGTCCATGCAGAAGCCTTCAGAGGCATCGTCTTTGAAGATGTGTCGCAAACAGAAAGCGATGTGGTCGACCACCAAAAACTATAGGTTTGAGGGTGAAATTGAAACGTGTTGTTGGTTTTTGTCGCCATTTGTTCATTTCAGTGTGGAACAGTTGAGGAAAATGAAACCCAAAGAAGGCTGATGGACTTCTGAGATTAATCGATTTTTCAAAGAGATTCTAGAATCATGTTTCACGATTTGTATCAATTTGTTCCTTATTTCAAAAACGCTGGGGGTTCCCAAACCATAGCAGTAGCGATAAGAAAGCGACAACCAAGAATGGCCAAAGTGTTTTCGGGCAGCCAGCAACTCAATCATTCCCAAACACTTTTGGCTGCACTTTGAAAAAGACAGCAACAGACTCCTGATCCAAAAACGCCCCTATTTTTCATGTGGAGATGAATGGACATGGATTCTGACACCCAGTTTTCAATAGCTATATTGGCTATATTGTAGATGAAAATCGCCTTAGCATATTTCGATGCATTTTTCTTCGCATTTTTCTTCGTTTTGATGGCCAGGAGTTGGAACATAACCCATTTCTCCGCGCAAGCTGCGAGAACATTTCGGATGAGGAGATGGGAAAGCTCCGCCGGGGATGCTTTGGCTGCACTGCCCGGCGATCTCCGTCACAAATGGCATTGAAATGGAGTTTGAATAGAAATCTCAGGGGACTATGTCAACTGTGTCAACCATGTCCATTCTTAATGTCAATTCGTCACTGAGCCGATATCCGATTGGTGATGAACAGAAAAGGTCTTGGTTGGTGTTGGGTTCCTGTTGGGATTGCGAGGCGAAGCAGAAGCTTTGGAATCATCGTTCTCAATCCATCCAACCCATCAAGTGACAGTCCAACTTGTCCTCCCATCTTGGGCTGTACAGTTCATATTGTTTTGCAGCTATGCTTGTTCAGAGAACTTGCCGAGTAACGTATGCCGTATGCCCGAATGGACACACACACACATACTCAAAGGAATCTCACAGGCATATACATGCATATTTGTGTAGACACAAATGCATGACAGGACACATACGCGAAAAGACTGATGCATTGATATATACATATATATATTTATGATTATATATGTATATGTATACACATAAACACATATACATTGATATATATATATATATCAATAATGATTTAGGATTAAATGCAAAGATCGACGAATGGCCATGAATTGATACAGTACATGACAAACATAGCTTGTCGCTGGATATTCGCCGAGGTAAAGACACCTTCACCACCATGGGGTCGCTGATCACCATGGCTTTGGATGTGAAGGGTTACTTCAATAATCCGGAAGAAAGTTCAGCGCCCTCAGCGGCATAGCCGGGCATAGCTGCGAGAAGCCTTTTAAAGTGGAGAAACAATTCCTGGAAGGACCGCAGTGACCACATCTTGCAGATGAACAATTCATAGCACACCCAAGTGACGCCCTCAATGTAGTACCAAGACGGGCGCTAGCACCTGATTTCTTGGTGAATGGTGCAAGATTTCTTTGAACATTTGGACCATCCAACGATAGATGCGTCTGCTTTCTGCCCAGTGACTGCACAAATAAAGTGCAGGAAGACCAGATGAGTGTTGCACTTCCCCCCATTGCATCAGTCTTGCCATGGTTTTCATGTTTTTCTTTTCATTTTTACGCTCTTTTGGAACCTTCCATAGCTTGGAGTACGCGTGTGCATTGTGCCAAAAGGGGGGCATCTCATTTGGTAGAAACCTTCATGATGGTATACAAGCTGCCATGATGGGGTGCTGAAGATGTTGAGGAAAAGGGAAAACCAAGTTGCATTTGTTGACGGTTCCTTGGTTCCTTGGGGCCTGTCGATTAAGCCGAGCACGTGCAACAAGTTCCCAGACCGTTGGAGATTTGTTTTCTACTATTCCTTACCTGTTGGCTTTGCCTATGGCCTATGGCCATCTAATCTGACTGAAAAAAACATCATGTAGCTGTGCCAGTTTCGGGTTTCTGTGCTTCACTCTTTGGAAAAATCATCCGAAATGTACGGCTAAACGTTTTACCCTCTGGTTATTTAACATAGCCATGGAAAATGGCCCATTTATAGATGGTTTACCTGGGTTTACCTATTAAGAATTGTGATTTTCCATGGCTATGTTAAATAACCAGAGGGTAATCACCAAGTGGCGAACGTTCCAGGTACGGCTGCGCCAACTGCGTGCGGAATTGCCCTTGAAGTGCCGCCGGGGCCTCGCTGGTAGCCTCGGTCCTCGTCCGGTGGAATGATTTTGGGATGGGCTCCACCCCCGGAGAAACTCGGAGAAACCGGTGAATTTTCTGGTTTCTGTGTGGAAATTGATGGTAATATAAGG